ATAACCCTCTTGTATTTTTTTTTTAATAAAATGAAAAACTCTAGCAAGATGGAATTTGACATTACAGGATTATGATTTAGTTATACAACATGTAAGGGGCAGACATAACATTGTTGCAAATGCTTTGTCCTGCATCTCCATCTCACGAGCTACCTCGAGGTAGTCCTATGTCTTGAAGAGGGGAGGTGCTATGGTCTGTGCCTTCCAAGAGAATTGATTAATTATCCCTTATGATACTCTGTCAGTTCATCAGATGCATTTGTATAAATTATATATATCCGGAATCCTTAAAACCGGAAATCTCCAACAGCCGGAATTGAAATTTGCTCGAAAATTTTTTGCCAAAGCCAGAATTATCAAAAAATTTTCAGCTTTGGAAAACAAATTTCCGGGGTTGAAAATTGAGAGCATTTTCTGAAAATGTCTTGAATAAAGACGAAAGCTAAAGTATTTTGAGGGACCTGACCTGACCTGTGGAGGTAGGGTGGGGGATTAGTGGTCTCATATTACTAACCTGATGGAATGTCAGGTCACCATTTCTTGGGTGGGGGATTAGTGGGTCTGGTGACCTGAAGATTTCATAAATAAACATGAAACCTAAAGTATTATTAGGAAGGTTGTAATAAGTATATGTATAAATGAGCAAAGTTGTATCCCTTCAACATTATACAGGTGCTCCTCTACTTATGAACGAGTTACGTTCCTGAGGCTTGTTTGTAAGTCCAATTGTTTGTACAGCAAGTCCAACTTTACTCGTGTAGATACCAAACGTATTGTAAAATAAATGAAAATATGGATATTTCGTAGAGCTATACCCTTTAATACAGCCTTAAAACCTGGCTCACTCTTCTCTTAGGTAATGTTTGTTCAATCAATGATGATGTTTGTATCTCTGAAAGTTTGTAAGTTGAACGATTAAGTTGAGGAGCACCTGTACTACATAACATTTAAAAATATGGAGTGAGAAAGCAGAAAGGTGTGGGTGAGTGGAGATGGAGTGGAAAGGAGCGGTAACATGCACCAGTGTTGTCAAGCAATAAGCTCCTCAACAGCTGATCTTTTAATTCACCTCCATGCAGTCACACAACAAGACCCTCACTGGATGCTTGTTGTCTTAATTCCCGTGTGTGTGTAATAATAATAATAATAATTAACGGTTTATTAAAAAAGTTCTGCAGCCCGAAGGCTGAAAATATACATTGGACATAATTGACTTTTTACATACATTGGTGGTTTAACAAAAGCCTTCGGTAGAGAAAGGTAAAGGAACATACAGTGAGCATACAGATTAATGTAGGTGTTGAACAGCAAACATGTAGTGTAGTAACTCCTCCCAGATGGTGTTAGGAGGGACTCACGTGGTGTAGTAGTTCCCTCACAGATGGTGTTATGAAGGACCTCACGTGGTGTAGTAGTTCCCTCACAGATGGTGTTATGAAGGACCTGACGTGGTGTAGTAATTCCCTCACAGATGGTGTTATGAGGGACCGCGTGGTGTAGTAATTCCCTCACAGATGGTGTTATGAGGGGCCTCACGTGGTGTAGTAATTCCCTTCGGTGTGTGTGTGTGTAATAATAATAATAAAAGGTTGTACCTCTCTAGTCCGGCAACCTCGGGACCTGACCGGTGCCGGACCATGGAAATTGCCGGACCATGGAAATTCACCCTTTTCCTGGATAGATAGTGACTTGTGCTTATGCCTGGAAGCACTAGCACCACTTTCTCTGCGTCATGGTCTCTTTGAAGACATATTGAAGGGTTAAATGTCGATAGTAGCTTCTCAATTCAGCGAAGTTTTAATTCATAACGATTTTATTGAAACACACAAAAAATATAAATAAAATTTTGACGGCGGAAACTTGAATTTCACGGGTTTTGAACCCGCCAACGCGCAGACGACGCTGTATAATCGTGTAAACAGGTGTCTTCTTATGTCAAAAAGATACATTATTGTTTATTACTGAATGTCTTTTTATTGAATTAATGTTTATGTGTGCAAAATGAGAAACACAATTCATTAATAATAATGAGAATATTAAAACACACGAAATGACACAGCATTGTTTTTGTTGATTACAAAACCAGTGACTGACGTTCTACATATAAAACCTGAAGAAAATAAGACCTTGGTTGTAGCTGTAGTAAAATTAATATGGTTGTTTTAAGTAATATTATTTAATGTTAATAAATGGAACAATACAAGTAGCTAACGGTAATGGTAAAGAAAAAGAGAGATTGCATATGTAAGTGCTTATACGTGAAAACATATATCGTCATTATTCTTTACATAAGAATATGAAAGCAACACTAATTTACTGTTCATATATATTTTAATTAATGTTTCTGAATTTGTTTTTATTGAATTAATGCACACGCAATTTATTAATAATACGTGGAATATTAGAGGAGACCTAGACGCCGCCGCATTTATTATGTAGCTTATGAAACCAGTGACTGATTGGTTCTACATATAAAACTGAAGAAAATAAGACCCTGATTGTAGCTGTAGTAAAATTAATGTAAAAAATTAATATGGTTGCTTTAAGTACCTGTAATGTTATTTAATGTTAATAAATGGAACAATATAAGTAGCCAACCATTAATGGTAAAAAAAGTGAGACTGCTCATAAGACATGTGAAAATATATCACATTACTCTACATAAGAATATGAAAGCAACACTTATTTACTGCTCATATATATTGAAGGGTTAAATGTTGTACTCTGTATAGACAAGCAGATTCAGATTTCAGATTTGCCCCCGAGGCTAGTTTATTGGGCACCCCTACATCCTGTGCAAGGTGAAGCTCAGAAGCGTTTCCAACAGGGGTATGGTTCATACTTGCCTTTATGACTGTACATTAAGGGCGTAAAAGATTGAAGGGTCATAGGTTCTGTCAAGTTACATAAAGTGAGAATGATGAGTGTGTGGGGAAAGTTCCCGTACATTTTATCTGTTTATGGCAAAGAGTGGCAGGTCCCTAATGTCAAATGCCAGGCCTGTGACTAGGAGGAGGGATATCTGGCCTGGGAGGGAAGAGGTGTTGTAACGGCTGGTAGGACAAGCAGAGAGAGAGATTGAGTGCAGCTGAACTGCCGTATGTAAACAAACTTAATTTCCTTTCGAGTTTTTTTTTATGGTAGATTAGCCCACCCGGCATAGGTCACTGACCCACATTGGGGCCTGAGGGCAAAAATTTAATACTCCTGTAAAATAATAATAATTCAGAGAAGTAAAAAAAAAAAAAAAATCTGGCTATCTACCTATTGGACAAACTAAAATCGTTCCGACCACGGAGTTTCCGGACCACAGAATGCCGGACTAGAGAGGTACAACCTGTACTAAACGTTTATTGAAAGTTTGCAGTCCAAGGCTGAAAATAAACATTGGACATAAATGACTTATTACAAATTGGTAGTTTAACGCTTCATTAAAGTGAAGGAACATATACTGTACAGTGAACATACAGATTAATGTTTACACGAGATCATGTAAGCTGAGGTGTTGAACAGCAGACACGAGGTAGTAACTCCCCAAAGATGGAGTGAGGGGCCTTCACGTGGAGTACTAGTTCCCCACAGTTGGTGTTACGAGGGGCCTGATGATGTAGTAGTTCCTCACAGATGGTGTATGAGGGGCCTGATGATGTAGTAATTCCCTCACAGATGGTGTTATGAGGGGCCTGATGTGGTGTAGTAACCTCACAGATGGTGTATGAGGGGCCTGATGTGGTGTAGTAATTCCTCACAGATGGTGTTATGAGGGGCATCACATGGCATAGTAATTCCTCACAGATGGTGTTATGAGGGGCATCTCATGGGGAGTAATTCCCTCACAGATGGTGTTATGAGGGCATCATGCGGTGTGTAGTAATTCCCCGCAGATGGTGTTATGAAACTTCACATGATGCTGTAGCAACTCATTCACTATGTGGTGTCGCACATCATGGGGACACCACGTGATCTGTCACAGGACTTCACTCACTCAAGTGGGTGAGGTGTGGTCCCAGGCCTCCCTATCGTGGAGTCTCAGGGAATTATCACTGGGTACCTGGGACCTCACTGTGTGAAGGTTAGCTTGGCTCAGACTCAACTGCCGAGTTGTTTTCACTGACTTAAGCACTGTTCACCACTATTCAACACTGGTTCCATTCCTTCCCCAATTGAAATAGTAACTTCTGGCGAACTTGTTGATATTCCGGGTGGGGAGGAGGGTTCAGGGAGGGAGTTGGTATGGGCCAATATAACAGTTGGACGGGCTGCTGCTGAGCAGTGCCAGGTGCTCTGACCCGCCTTGACCCATCGGTGGTCAGGGATGACTGTGTGTGTGTGTGTAGCGGCGCATGTGTGGTGCGCGTGTGTGTGTCGCTTTTCCGTCTGGCCCTTGTCCTAAATCATATCATTGTATCATAGCTGAATGATCGTCATACTCAATTTGGAGTGACAGCAAAGTAGTAGAAGTAGTATGCTGTATTTTTTTTTTTAATATATCTGTATTATTACTGTACTGTTTTTGGTTGGTTGGTACTGAACAGAAAAAAATCACCATTGTAGGAGGAGTAAGGTTTACTGCCCTGGCTACTTGTATAAATTTTACTCCTGTTTCAAATGACTTCAGCACATATAACTTCATATCCAATATTAGCGTTTTCTGTTCTCTTTTGGCACTTTTCTTATCAGTTCCACTTATAGGTGTTTTTGTAGAATAGTGGAGGTAAGTGGTGACAACACCATCAGTAGTGACTTCCATAAATGGTGCATGAATAAAGCCACACTTCATGTGACTAGTGTAAACAATAAATGAAACAGCTTCAAGCAGTCTGTGTAGCATGTGGTATAAAATGGGGTCTTCACAAATTAACTGTATTTTTTGTATGTATTTTTCATGTTTCCAGTCTTAATTCATAATTTTGTCTCCAATATTGTTCACATTACAGAGGCTGACATCTGTGAAAGACTAGTGTACATGATATCAATAAATCCCTCACCTATGTTAATTCAAACATTTAGGACTGAAGGGAGTTTCCTTGCAGTGCCTGGTGGTGATGCCGTTGAAACTAGTACAGGAGATTGCCCAGTTGCTTTTGTTACTCCTGCACCCCATCGGTATTATTGTTCCCCAGAGTGAGGAGCCGTCCACAATGTTCATCGTTCAATAAGAATACCACTGCTCAGCTTGATGAACTTTTGGATCAGCTCAGTAGCAAAGGTAGGCTGTCTAATTGTAGTGTTACGAAAAATGAATGGGAACCACGATGGAAATGATATTAGCTAGTAAACCATCTAGATATTTAACAGATAACCAATTATAGATTTGCAAGCTGAAACGAATCTTGAAGCCTTCTTTAAGCATTTCCAGGAATGAAGAAAACATAAGTACTGGATGTACAGTAGTACCCCGCTTAACGCGGTCAATAAAACCCACAGGGTACCGTGTTAAGTGAAACCGCTAAGTGAACAACAGAACATATGGGATTAATTCCAATAGAAACTGGCCCGACCCCCAAACTCCACTTCCTCCGACACAATACCTATGTTCTAGTAAAAGAACATCTTAATTTTATGATGGTACATGCACACAATTAATACTTAAGAGAAATAGAGAAAATACAGTCGCCAAGTTAATGTCCATTCAAATAATGGACTGGACTCCCTCCCCTCTCACACTACACTGCTGGCTCTTCCCTCTCTGAGAAATTTTGGGGAAAACCACTAAATTTTAATAAATAATACCTCAAACTAAAGTTAGGATAATACAATTGACATTGCTGGATTCCTTGTAAGACCAGGAATATTTTGAATATAAATGTCATATATTTTGCACAAAAGATAACATATTTACTCAGAGTAAACATTATATCTAAAATTTGTATGTCTAATGCAAAATCTATGATGTTTATATTCAAAATGATCACCAAATTGTAAGAATTCCAGCAATGTAAATTATATTCTGGCCGGGTAATTTGTATGAATTTTATGAGCTAAAACAAATATCTTCAGTTAATAAAAAAAATATTCTTCACAACACTATCTGTCAATCAAAGTACCCCACCTTGCCTCCCCCTCCAACCAGCTGTCAGTCCCAACCTCTCCCCACCCCCCACCAATCCTCCCTTCAAGAGATGTTGGGTGAAAAAACTAAATTTTAACATTTAGTATTAAATAATACCTCAGATTAAAGTTAGGATAATATAATTGACATTGCTGGATTCCTTGTAAGACAAGGAATATTTTGAATATAAATGTCATGTATTTTGCACAAAAGATAACACATTTACTCAGAGTAAACATTACATCTAAAATTTGTATGTCTAATGCAAAATCTATGATGTTTATATTCAAAATGATCATCAAATTATAAGAATTCCAGCAATGTAAATTATATTCTGACCGGGTAATTTGTATGAACTTTATGAGCTAAAACAAATATCTTCAGTTAATAAAAAAAAAAATATTCTTCACATGGTAACAGATGGTCGGTCGGTCCCTCCCTCCCCCCCACCTCCCACCAACCCCTACCAGATGTGCGGGAAAACCAGAATATTTACCTTTTTAGTAATAAATAATACCTCAAACTAAAGTTAGGATAATATAATTGACATTGCTGGATTCCTTGTAAGCCCAGGAATATTTTGAATACAAATGTCATATATTTTGCACAAAAAATAATATATTTACTCAGAGTAAATATTATATCTAAAATTTGTATGTCTAATGCAAAATCTATGATGTTTATATTCAAAATGATCATCATATTGTAAGAATTCCAGCAATGTAAATTATATTCTGGCCGGGTAATTTGTATGAATTTTATGAGCTAAAACAGGCAGTCAGGCAGGGTGGCTGGTGGGGGGTGGGGCGAATCTAAAAATAGCTCTCGAGCCGGACACTCACCGCGTATACGTGGAAAAAACCCGCGTTAAGTGAAAGTTCGGCTCTGGCGAGGCACCGCGTATACAGTAAAACGCGCTAAGCGAAACCGCGTTAAGCGGGGTAATACTGTACAGTACAAATATCCCCTAATATGCATATGCCTGTTAAATAAAATTTGTTTTAACGAATAAAAATCTAATTTTTCAACCCTCATTTCTTTATATGAACTCCAACATTCACTTTAATGAATTTTAATCATATAAGAGACGTCTTTTTTCTTTAGAAAATACAAAGTTTTAGGTGTCATGGGGTCAAGTCAATTCTTGACTATTATTTTTATGGATCATAATAGTGGGGAACTTTGTGTGAAAACCCCCATATTTGACCATTTTCCCTCCCTGGAACATGACTCCATATGGATACTACCATTCAAAATAAATTTTTTCATCTTATAAATGAATTTATAGGAACTCGACCTCTAAGTACTGTATATCGGGGGATACCCTACCTTATTTAAAAAAAATTATTAATAATAATAATTTTGGTTTAGATTTTATATTCATTAAGTTTTTCTTCAGTGTACCTCATATAACTTAGATATTTAAGAGTTTATGAGATTTTGTCATGTAATCTTTGTGATAATATGAAAAGATGTACAGTATATATATAGTGACTTTTCTTCTCAGGAAAAAAGCCAGGGAAGGGTAAAGTGCTGCATCCACTGTCACATTCCAAAAATAATAATGCCATAACTGAAGAAACATCCTTGTCTTCAGAAGAGGACTCCTCTCCTTGCCCGTCTTCCCCGCCATGCGTGCTGAGTGATACCTCGTCTCAACCTTTCAACAAGCATGATAAAACTGTTCAGGATGAAGAACAGCTTGTGGCTCCGGCAGTAAAAGACATAAATTTAATCAGCGATGTGGATGATTCACTGTGGAGTGATGAGCTTAATATGGGTATCTGTGATATTAGTGGAATTAATATAGTGTGTGACACAGACATCAGACAATCTGTGAGAGAAAAAGTAGAAGTAACAGCTAATGAAAGTGATAAAGACAGTGTAATAGATAAAGTAAAAGTAGATACTATTCTGTCTGCAGATATATTTGATGATGATCTGTTTAACGAATCTGTGATACGAACAACACAAGCGATGGAGGAAGCCCTTACTGATATAGATGAAAGTAATGTTTTGTCAAGTGTGACTGAAGAGAGGTGTGTAAAAGTATCTGAAATTCTGTTTGAAAATTTCCAAGAGCATCATGAGTCAGAGAAAAGTGCTCTCCAGTCTTTATCCGGGGTAAAAGTTATTGGGGCTGGTCAGAAAAACTCCTTAGAAGAGCAATGTAAACCAAATGATAATTTTAGTGACATTGTCGATGGTAAAGCTAGCAACAGACCTTTCAAAAATGTCACTGATACCATCTATAAAAGTCACAGTGCCACGTACCATGATAATAAACAGAAACCTTGCCAAAGTATCAAAAACAGTAACAATGAAGGTAAAATAATTACTTTTGGTGACCAGAGTAGATCCAACACTTCCCATATTATAAAGAACCACAGCATTTCTGGAGGTGAAAGTAGCTGTACTCCAATCCTTGCCAAGACTTGCTCATCCCTTATAAACAATTCTCACCGACAAAGTAGAAAATCATTTCGGTTAGAGTCTAATCCTCAGACGTGTTCTAGGACAAAAACAGACAAAATTTCACTTGTGCTTAATGTTAAATCAAGTACTGATAGTGAAAGTAAGTCTGTGCAATCATCTAAGAATCATAAATTGAATAAAGGATCAGTTAATTCTAGTGTTCATTTTACTTTAAGCAGCTTACCATCAAGTTCACCATTACTTAGGAATAGTGAATGTAATAATGAATCTGCCAGACTGACAAACAAAGGCCAGACAATGAGAGGGTTATTGTTACGTTCTCACTCAACCAGTAATGCTAAAATTTCTGGTGGTGATGTGTCATCAGCTGTACAGCGAAGCAAAAGTTCTATAGCTGGAGACTTTTCCCGAGAATTTGAAGATGACGATGAATTCTTTGAGTCATTGGTGTCACATCTCCCAGAAGATGGGGAAGAATTGATTAAGAACACCCACTTCCAACAAGGAACTACAGGTTGTATACCAAAATGTAGAAAAGTGGCAGCTGCTAGATGTAAACCTAAATTTTCTTTTAAAGATAGTTCCCTTCAATCATTCCGAGACAACCAAGAGGACAATAAAGAAGTAGTCCAAGAAAAAATGTTGCAGGTTGTCAGTGGCACAACTTTGGAGACTCCAAATCTATCAGAGTCATTTGTAGGAGGCAGAAGAAATCAAAGGAGCTTCATCCATAGCAAACAAGCCATGACTTCCTGCCCACAGAATTCAAAACCCTGCAACAATAAACTGCCTTCTGTTAATATGGAAAGATCTTTGGGTAAGTTTATGATAGTTTTCTGTTATATTGTAAATGGAAGATAGTTTCTTAATCTCATCATAACTATTTCCAGATATAATTGTATCTTAGGCATAAAGTGTTATTGTTGGAGTTACCTTGAAGGGTTTAATAAATGTGAAGGACAGCACTGCATTAATACTAATTGTTGCAAAAGGACAGTTATTGACAAAATGAATTCAGCATGGGAGGGAGGGGTGGCTGTGAAAAGTCTGTGGCTTTCTTTTTACACCACAAAAAATTATATTCATTATTTTTGGTGAGGCAGCAACTTTGACCATGCATATGTTTTCAAGTAAAGTTGAGGGAAACCACTAAAGTGGTTGCATTTCATTTCTGGCTTTATCTTACACCTCAATCACATTAACCCCCTACGCCCGGGTTGACGTTCCGGAACGTGCGCCTCTTTTTTGCGGCATTGTTTGAATGACCAGCGCGGGTTATCAGGTTCCAGCATGATTATTTGCCTGTCACGCCACATGCTCGGCCACAGGGAAGCTTCTGGAATGTAAGTACCTACTTTTGTTTGTTTCATTTTCAATGTCTGTCCATTTTATCATGTTAAATGTATATTGCAGACACAGGAATTATTATTCCAATAATTATTTCTATGCTTTACTTACTCTCCCAAACACAAAGACAGTCAGACAGCCTGGTGACAAACTGCGTGTGTGTGTTGCTGACCACTTTTTTATGAAAAATTATGCAAATAAAATAAATTATAAATTAATTATTTATGGGAAATAAGTCATATGATCAGTAAATATAAGTATTACTGGTCATCCCTGACACAAAGGCAAGCAGAAAAGGGCTGCTAAGCGGGTATGTGACCACGAGCGCTCACGTCAAGACAACACTGTCCCATTATCTCCCTCGCTCTGCGCTTCCATTTTCCCACCACTGTGGCCCCAGGGAAGTTTCTAGAGGGTCAATATATAGTTTTTCTTACTTCTTTTTTATTGTTTTATCATTTATAATGGCTACAAATTATTTTTGGAAAAGTTGATTTTTCTCGATTTACCCGACGTAGGGGGTACGGCCAGCTGCACCTTAGCCCGGGGGAAAGGGTTTTTGACCGTAGTTGCATGAATTTTTTTATTGGCTTCATTAAGATATTCGACCATTTTAATCCAGTTCAGAAAAACATATACACTCCCTTCGATGTTCCACCATTGTCGCAGGCTTTTAAATCAAGTGACAGCATGACTGTGTCACTGCCTGTTGGCCAGAACAGGAAGGAAACCGCATGTTAACACAGATCAGTTGGGGTGCATGTGGCTGCTACTCACTCCACAGTCTTTATGCCTTTTCTTAATTTATTCACCATTTAACAGGAAAGATATTAGGACCATTAACCTATACAGTATGTACATCATAAGTGTATATAGTACTTTATCTTTTATTGCACGTTACAGTGATATACACGGTATAACCTGGAATAATGATACAGTAGAATCCCAGTTATCCGGCATCCAGACAACTGGTAGATTCAACTAGCTGGCACCAAAATGAAATAATAAAAATAAAACTTCTCTCAAATCAGCTAGTATCTTTAGTATAAATACTGCATGCAATGAGGATGAGCTGCTAAATTTATTGCAGTGATAAATAATTAAATTGATACATAGCATTACATAAAATACAATAGCACATTTTATGTACAAAATATAGCTCCTTCCACACTCAAACCATCATCTGGGTGACACGACCCACTTCAGCCAAGGAGTCAACCAGATGACACACAGACATGTGGCTACCGCTCTGTGCTGTGTGTATGCCTTGATGTCACATCAGAAGGGAGTGTGGCCACACACATTCACACCCACGCTCTTCATTTTTCCTAATTTATAGTTTTATATTATATTTTCTTTATTTCTAAGCCACATTGTTTATATAGAGTGGAATAAGTGTGTTAAAGAAATCTGTTTTTCTGAGATGAATTTGCAAGGTCAGTCTGTAGCACTGTGCATTGGGAGATCTTAAGAGCGATTTTCAACAAACCGGAAAAACTGTTTATCTGGCATCTCTCAATCCCCCAAGGTGCCGGATAACTTGGATTTTATTGTATAAAGTGCGTTTTACCATCATGTATTGTTGTTAATAGACGTAATTACATCAGTGTACATAGCGTAGGTACAGGCAGTCCCTGGGTTACAAACGTCTGACGTACGAACATCTGCCGATACAAACGTGGTTAAACTTTAAATTTAGAGTTATGTATTTTATTTACCTGATTTAATTTTTACTGTATTTTGTCATTCTATTTCTTCTTTTATCTTAAATTAAGTGATTTTAGATGTATATAAGGACTTCAGCTATAATATAGTGGGATTTTAAACATTGTTCTGTAAGTACGGCATGCACATACCATATGTTTCGACTTGTGTACATTTTCAATTTAAGAATGTCCCCAGCGACGGAACTCGTTGGTAACCTGGAGTCTGCCTGTATCAGTGTTTATTTAGTATTGCATAATACTGTAGTGTATTATAAAGATATTTTATATAAAACTATCCCAGTGGGGGCCGCCTTGCTGTGGTGGAGGGGCTTGATGATCCGTACCAGAGGGAGGCTTGGCCCCCCCCCTTCCTTCCCTTCTTGGAGGGAGGGAAGGGTTTCCCAAACTGGTGAGGGTCCAGACAAAATGGTTCCTAACTTGCTGCCGGCGGGTTTGAGAGCAGACCGGCAGTATCATACCCAGCCCAGACCCCTGGGGCTGGAATACTTTCTCATATGTTTGCAGTGCGTGGCAACTCATAGCATCGACTAGGGCGAACCGGACCACAAAACGACAAACGTTTTAATAACTTTTTTTAACCTGCTAACCATAATTTTCATACTTACCTGCCTACATACAAGGCCACAATATGTGAAAGTTTCATAAAATAATATGTTGTTCTTACATGGCATTTTGTGGTCCACTGCAGTACCTGTACATGCAACATTCTGGGGCGAATGTGGATCAGGCACCGGGGCGAATATGGACCATCACTTTTATTTGTTAGTTATGCTATTTACAGTACAGTGAATCCTCACTTTACGCAGTCAATTGAACCCATGGAGGCCCACGTAAAGTGAGAAACGCGTAAAGTGAAAAACATAACATATGGGATTAATTGAAATAGAGACCGGGCCGACCCCCAAACTCCACGTTTTCCGACACAATACCTATGTTCTAGTAAAAATAACATCTTAATTTTATGATGGTACACGCACACAATTAATATTTAAGAGAAATACAGTCACCAAGTTAATGTCCATTCAAATAATGGACTCAACTCCCTCCCCCTCTTCTCACACTACACTCACTGGCTCTTCCCTCTCTGAGAAATGTTTGGGGGAAAACCACTAGATTTTAAGGTATAGTAATAAATAATACCTCAAACTAAAGTTAGGATAACATAATTGACATTGCTGGATTCCTTGTAAGACCAGGAATATTTTGAATATAAATGTCATATATTTTGCACAAAAGATAACATATTTACTCAGAGTAAACAAAATACTTACATTAGATCTAAAATTTATATGTCTAATGCAAAATCTATGATGTTTATATTCAAAATGATCATCAAATTGTAAGAATTCCAGCAATGTAAATTATATTCTGGCCGGGTAATTTGTATGAATTTTATGAGCTAAAACAAATATCTTCAGTTAATAAAAAAAAAAATAATATTCTTCACAACACTATCTGTCAATCAAAAACCCCACTTTGCCCTCCCCCCCCTCTTCCCACCATGCCAGCTGGGTCGGTCGGTCCCTCCCTACCAGAGAAATGGTTGGGAGAAACCAGTATATATATGTTTTAGTAATAAATAATACCCCAGACTAAAGTTAGGATAATATAGTTCACATTGCTGGATTCCTTGCAAGACCAGGAATATTTTGAATATACACGTCATATATTTTGCACAAAAGATAACATATTTGCTCAGAGTAAACAAAATACTTACAGTAGATCTAAAATTTGTATGTCTAATGCAAAATCTATGATGTTTATATTCAAAATGATCATGAAATTGTAAGAATTCCAGCAATGTAAATTATATTCTGGCCGGGTAATTTGTGTGAATTTTATGAGCTAAAACAAATATCTTCAATAAATAAACAAAATATACTTACCCAAATACTATCTGTCAATCAAAATACCCCACCTCCCCCCCTCTTCCCATCTGCTCCGTGGGTCCCTCCCTCCCTCCCTACCCCTCACCCCCACCTTCCCTCCGTACCAGAGAAATGTTTGGGTTATAACAGTATATTTACATTTTTAGTAATAAATAATACCTCAGACTAAAGTTAGGATAATATAATTGACATTGCTGGATTCCTTGCAAGACCAGGAATATTTTGAATATACACGTCATATATTTTGCACAAAAGATAACATATTTGCTCTGAGTAAACAAAATACTTGCATTAGATCTAAAATTTGTATGTCTAATGCAAAATCTATGATACTTATATTCAAAATGATCATCAAATTGTAAGAATTCCAGCAATGTAAATTATTTTCTGGCCGGGTAATTTGTATGAATTTTATGAGCTAAATAAAAAAATTACACTTCACCCGCGTATATGAGTAGAGTAGATGCACCGCGTAAAGTGGGAGTGGGAATTCCGGTTCTGGCAGTTCTGGCGTAGAAACGCGTAAAGTGAAAACCCAAACCGTGTAAAGCGAGGGTTCACTGTATATTAAGCTTATACAAGTTCATTTTAACTTTATTACTCATAATATATGTTTACTAAGGCACTTATGTTTTTATTAACACTAAAACTTATAAGAAATAGTTAATGAATGAGCAGAGGTCGTAGCTATTTACACTTCACTACACTGTGCATGGCTCTCATTGTTTTAGTGGACACTAAAGGTTTTATATTCATAATCAAGGACTTTTGTACCCAATATAAAGGGAATACAGTGTTTCTTATTACAGTTATTGGACCATGGAATATATAACTATTGGACACAGTGTTAGTAT